CCAGGGTACCCCTGGGCCAGGCAAGGAGAGGGCTGGCAGGGGATTACAATGACCCAGGCCAGGGTACCCCTGGGCCAGGCAGGGCCGGGGCTGGCAGGGGATTACAATGACCCAGGCCAGGGTACCCCTGGGCCAGGCAGGGCCGGGGCTGGCAGGGGATTACAATGACCCAGGCCAGGGTACCCCTGGGCCGGGCAGGGACGGTGCTGGCAGGGGATTACAATGACCCAGGCCTTGGCACCATGTGGCCTGTGTTTAACGTGCTCCGCAGACTGACCATCCTTAACCTCAGGCCGGCCACCGTCCTATGGGACAGATCTGGGCAGCCCAGCCCCGTCCTTGCCCCATCCCTCTTTGCACCTCCACCCGCCCTTCCGCCACCTCTGTTCGCTCTCCTAAAGGCTAACACTGGACATGCCGATGGTGCCTTTCACATCAAGAGATCCGAGCCCACAGCCCTTTCAGTCATGCCTATAGACACCCAGGTCACGTCATCAAACACTGAAAGGCAACCACCTCTGGGGTGGGACGTGTCTACAAGCCCACACAACACCGCCCAGGGAGCGAACAATCCTGTATCCCAATGAAATTATACAGGAATTTTAGCCTCCCTGGGGCATTGGGGTCAGCACCAGTCAAAGGGGAGCACTAGTCAGAATATTATCATCCATCCACCCACCCCCTCCCATTTCCTGCAGCACAGTGCCCTTTAGCACTGGGGTATTGGGGCTAGCACTGGCTCGGAGAGCACCCCCTACTGAGCCACCTGCCCCACTCCCTGTGGCACAGTGCCCCCTAGTGCTGCACTGGGGCACATACTAGCTCAGAGGGGAGAGCGCCCCCTACTGAGTCACCATCACCTTTTCCTTTAGCCCCTGAGGTTTCTGTGGAGACCACAGTGCCCTTCCAAACACGCTCCCCTAAGGACGCCCGGATCACACGGGACCTGACAGATGGCTGGGTGCCGCCTGGCACAGTGGGACAACCCCTTCACATGCTGTCACGGCGCAGGGCACTGGGGAACCCACACGGCACAGCCCCTGAGATAGCCAGGGCTTGTTCACCGCCCTACGGCATCACTCAGTGCTGTGCGCCTCAGGATGGGCAGAGTTGCTTGGGCTTAAGAGATTCATGGCTCAGCCAGTGGGCAGCTAAACGCCAGTGACCTGCCAACTTATCACTCCCTATCCCTGCCAGCAGCCAGCCATCTCTGCAACCCACACCCAGGAAGGTCCCCTTGGCAGAAGGGGCAGTGCCCTGCTTAGGCTGGGGCCCCGGAAACCAGAGGGCCCCGCCCCGCCCCATGGCGTTGGATCCTGCAGACGTTGTGAGGGCAGCTCACACCCACTGATCCCAGAGTGGGCAGGGGCAGGCAGAGCCATGGCCCTGGGGGGTGCAGAGGGCAATGTGGACTGCAGGGGCCGGGATCTCCAGCATGGCCCATCTGGGTGTCCTTTCCCTGGCAGTGACTGGCACCCAGGCAGCGGAGCCAGGTTGTGCAGCGGGGGGTGGGCGGCCGAGGCCCTTGCACCCGGCCCTGAGGCATTTCCTGCAAATCCCTTTGGGAGTCCAGCCGTACTGGAGATCTCAGCATGACAGACTGGCAGCAGCTGGGCGTAGGGCCCAGTACAGGTGCCTGCTGAGCTGTGCCAGGACGTGAGCATGCAATGGGCATCTGTGCCCACAGCTGCCAGTTAGTGAAGGGGGGCTGCAGGGAAAGGGGATTCTGTGCCTCCTGGGAAGCTGGGTCGTAAGGCAGAGCGGACTGAGCATTAGGGTCTATGCCCAGCTGTGCCAGGCACCATCAGCAATTGCCTTCCCCTTCTGTGCCGCCTCCCAGCCTGTGGGTATTTAAGACTGGCAGCCTGTGGGGGCAGGGACTCTCTCGCCTGTGTACTTGCAGTGCCCGGCGCAATGAGGCCCTGGGCTCAGAATAAGGCTCCAGCGCCTCGCACCAGAAAGTCAAGCAGTCAAATACTCTGGCCGGCCCCATGGCAATGTAGAATATTATCATCCATCCACCCACCCCTCATGCATCCATCCATCCATCCATCCCTGTACATACACACCCATCCATCCATCCCCGTACACATCCATCCATCCATCCATCCGCCCCTATACATAAACACTCATCCATCCATCCATCCATCCATCCCTGTACATACACACTCATCCATCCATCCCTGTACACATCCATCCATCCATCCCTCCCTCCCTGTATATACACACTCATCCATCCATCCCTGTACACATCCATCCCTCCCTCCCTCCCTGTATATACACACTCATCCATCCATCCCTGTACACATCCATCCATCCGTCCCTCCCTATACATAAACACTCATCCATCCATCCATCCCTGTACATACACACTCATCCATCCATCCCTGTACACATCCATCCATCCATCCCTCCCTCCCTGTACATACACACCCATCCATCCATCCATCCCCATACACACCCATCCATCCCTGTAGATACACACCCATCCATCCATCCCTGTACATATCCCTCCCTCTCTCCCTCTACATACACACCCATCCATCCATCCCCATACACATCCATCCCTCCTTCCCTGTACATACACACCCACCCATCCATCCCTGTACACATCCCTCCCTCCCTCCCTGTACATACACACCCATCCATCCATTCCTCCCTCCCTGTACATACACACTCATTCATCCCTCCCTCCCTGTACATACACACCCATCCATCCATCAGTGATGGCAGAGCCTGGTTGGGTCAGGGGGGCAGGGCTGGGAGGCACAGGGAGGCAGGGCTGGGTGGCACAGTGGGGAAGAGCTGGATGTCGTAGGGCTGGGTGGCACGGGGGGCAGGGACGGGTGGCACAATGGGTCAGGGACGGGTGGCACAGTAAGGCAGGGCTGGATGTTGTAGGTCTGGGTGGCACAGGGAGGTAGGTCTGGGTGGCACAGGGAGGCAGGGCTGGGTGGCACAGGGCTGGATGGCACAGTGGGGAAGAGCTGGGTGGCACAGGGAGGCAGGGCTGGGTGGCACAGAGAGAACTCATTGAAGAACCCCAGCTCAGGACACTGTCTGCAGCAGGTGCCCCCACATGGGGTACAGGAGTGGGGAGGGGGGAATGTTGGGAGCCCCTGGTTTGCTTCTGAACAACCCCTCCCCCATGCCCCAGCACTGCCAAGGACACAGCTATTTTTGCCACGCTAATAGCCAAGCTGCTCATACTGGGGGGCAGGGGGAGGTTGCCCAACACCTGTCTCGCTCCTGCCCAGGCTACTGGTGCAGGATTCTCCCAAAAGGCAGATCTGTGCCCACTTTCCAGGTCAGATCAGCCCCAAGGCCCCCTCCGGCTGGGCTCCCATGCCAGGCAGGCCCAGCGGCCCCTGGTGCACATCGGCCACAGCAGGACTCGGCCATCTGCCGAGAGCTGCCCCAACCACCCTGCAAGGGAAACAAGCCCCACAGCCTGGCACCAGGGTTACACCCACTGCCAGGCACCAGAACACCCACCTGCCCGCGCCCTGTGGGCACTAGGGCTGCAAACCTTCATCCCACCCAGGGCCGGCTCCAGGCACCAGCCGACCAAGCAGGTGCTTGGGGTGGCACCTGGAGGGGGCCGGCGCTCCGGCCGGTCGGGGAGAACGGGGCCCCGGCCGAGCTTGCCGCCCTCCCCCCGGCGCTCTGGCCAGCCGGGGAGAGCGGGGCTGCAGCCGGGCTCGGCGCCCTCCCCTGCCACGCTCCCCGCCGGGGGCCGGAGGCGGCGGGAGGCTTTTTTGCCTGGGGCGGCAAAAAAGCCAGAGCCGGCCTTGATCCCACCCCAGCCACCTCCGCTCACCCTGTATGAGCAGCACAGAGCCCCCGCCCCCTCCCACCCCACAGAGGCAATAAACCCCCTACGGGGCGCGGTGTGATGGGCTCCTTAACGACACCTGCACCCTGGAGCCACGTGTCACCCCCAAGCCCTACTGGCACCAGCTCCCACA